ATCGCAGCAAAAAGTGAAATTTAAACATTTTAAATTGCAAAAAAGATCGTGATGTACAGATCAATATCGCTAACTAACTTATAAAGTTATCGTTTAACATTTATTTTTGTGGCTTCGTATATTTTTTAGTTATAAAAAAGTAAACCTTTAGTAACTTTTCTCTGTCTATGCCACTTTTCTGGACGTAACTCACGAATTTTTCAATAAAAGAATCCATATCGCAAAACTCGCAATTGTAAGAAAACTAGTTTCAAAAATTGTTTTGAAAAAGCCGCCTAGCAAACAAGCGCTGAAAAAGAACTCTGTATAAAAGCGAACTTCTACGCAACAAATTTTAAATTCACTTATTGATAATTTTTGTGTTACCAAATTATGAAATTATGAATTTAGATCTATTTTTGTTCTTATTATATATAATTGTTTTTCCTTGCCGTAATTATGTGTATTAAACAATTTGTGTGTATAACAATTATTGACATTATATACGTTTCAGTTCAATTATACACGTTTAATTACATTTCTATTTCCATGTTAAGAAACCACGTTTTTCATTTCTATGTTGGCCATTTTGTTACTTGCTGTCAAGGTTAAATTTATAAAACTGTTCGAGCAATGTCTATTTCGTTGTTTGGCGACAGTTATGTGCATAGAATGGAATTTTTTTTTAAATGAAAAATGACGTTATTACCCACGGTAATAAACGTGTCTTATTAAAAGGAAAGCCTGGTGGGAGGATCGGAGGATTGATTAACTTCTTCCGGAAGCATACCATTCCTATTGAAACGATAATCCTTTACATCGGAGGTTGATTCATTTGTTTAATAAATAGTTTAATGTTGGTTAATTATTCTTTTAATATAATAACAGTTTTGTTTAATTTTTAGTCATTAAAATTAAATACCAGGCAATGATTTGACGACTGAAACCCCGGAACTCGTGGCCGCGAGATATGAATCCTTACTCAGACTGTTAGAGAACAAAATCAGACCGCGCCGAATAATCATATTAAGCCTGGTTTATAGAAAAGACGTTCAGAAATGGAAAGTTGATAAACTAAATGTTTCATTGAAACAATTCCAGTCTAACATTGTTCATTTCTGGAAGCTTGACAGAGTGGGAGGAGGTAATAATATAGGACCTGACGGCATCCACCTAAATGAACGTGGAATGATGAACTTTAAGAGAAACATCATTTATTCTCTAAAGTGCACGAAATAAATTTTTAACGTTTTTATTTGTAATAAAAAGTTTATAAAAAAGTATGCATTGTTGTTTAATATATCTTTGTATATATATATTATATATGTACCTATATATCCATTTTTTTATATAAATGTGTTTGTGTGTGTGGTATGACCTAATTACTCACTTACTAAAACATTTATAACTTTTTTTATTTAACGTTAAAAAAAATTGCGGTTTCCAAATGTAACAAACAAATGTTATAAACAAACCCCAATATCGAAGTTGATTGATACACAGGTTGGGGTTGAATGCTATTAGCATCAAATATCATTACAACGAAAAAGAAAGTTATTAAATATTCACCATAAAGGTTTCTCTCTCTTGCGTTTGCTTCAGAGGTTTCAACAACAAACACACGCAGCGTATATGAATACGCGTGCAAACCACGTATCATACACATTGCATATGATAGGCGGGGATCTCTTTGTATTCGAACCCAGTCAATGCAATAGCAAGACCAGGCGCCTTTAACCATTGAGCCATCACGCCATAGTTATGACAAATGAATACTTGGTTTCGCCGTTTTCAGGTTTAACTGATTTGAAATAACAGGACTACTCTTTCGCTATTTCCTGTTCCAAAATAACATTAAAAATTTGTCGATTACGTTGAGCTGTTAACAATGGACAAATGCCTCCATTTGACAAATTCTGATGTGACGCAGCATCAGAAAAATAAAACTATTGACGAGCAACGTCCTGGATTGAATGTGCTGTTTCACTGACGGTATTTAATGCCGAAACATAAACATCTGGATCGACGCTAATCCGGTCCGTTTTGAGATGTAATTTTTATGTCACTTTGGGCCAAAAAACAATGAAGGAAGTTGAGTCATCAACTACCACTACGTGTGAAATTAAAACAATTTATATTAGTATAAATGTAATTCTTTTTAGAGAAGCCAACAAAAAACGGGGATATGGTACAAAAATTTGTAGCAAATAACTCGTTTAAAAAAAGAAAAGAATGCCGCGAATTAAAACACGAGAATTAAAACATGAACATTTCTTTCGAAAGTAACACTAGAGTTTAAACATGCAGAATAATTTTAAAAATATTTTTTTTAATTTTATTCCGTTTCAAAACATAATCTGAAAAACATCTAAAATTTAAAAAAGTCCAAAAAGTACAATAACGGTATTCTATTCTGGTATTGCCATTTTGTGTTAATCAAATTATAAACTATACTACAAGCAAAAGCAGGAATGACGTTGTAACACAACAGATACAGGAAACTTCAAAACTGTGGTGCACTTAGGTTGTTTGCGAGATAACAACAAGGACCAAAAACTTCCATAATTAAGTCCAATACTTCTTTGAAGTTCCTGTTTAATTCACCGAGTTCATTAAAATTAATTTATAAATCAAAGTGTAACACAATTTTAAAAAATTCGATAATATACTGTACAATTTTTAAATTGTATTATGATGTCAACAAAATAATATATAGAATCTTATACTATGCACCTGCGTCTCGAACCATTATTTTCGTTACCAATCGACAGAGATTTAAAAATAATAACGGTAAAAAATATCTCGTATCGTTATAAAACGATACGAAAAATCTCGTATCCTTTAATAACAATACCAGAGATCTCCTATCGTTATTTAAACAAGACTTTTTTAGGAAAGTCTATCATATCGAAATAAAAAATAAAAGACACAATTTTCGTCTCGTACCATTATTTCAATGTGTGGAAATGGTAAAAGTGCACATTGTAAAAAAATAAAGTGTTATAAAATATTAAAACTTATTTAATTTTTTCCAATTGAATGACTTTGGTTTAATAAAGACTCTAAAAATATCGTATCGTTATTAAAACGAGACATTCTCCAAAAGGTCTCGTATCAAATAAAAAATACGAACAAAACAAACTTTTCTTTAATTTTTCAATTGAATGGCTGTTTTCTGGGCGAAATGACTGGGCGGCGTGATAGTCTAATGGTTAAGGTCGCCTGGTGCTGTTTCGCAGTAACCGGGTTCGAATGTGACAAAAATATCCCCGCGTATCATATGCTTCGTGTGTAATGCGTCGTTTAGCACGATGTTTATTTATGATGTTTTGCACTCTGTTGAATCCTCTGAACTTTGGAAGAGTGTAATTGATCTTTAACTTTTTTCTGTTTTAATACAGTACATTTTGTAAAGCGGAGTTGGCGGGAAAACAACTAAGGGCAGACTGTAAATGTGCCAAGCGTCATTGTTATTGCGCGATGTTCAAATACTATCTTTCAAAAACTCAAAAATCATCATACAATTTGTGCACATACTTGTGCATATGATTTTATTATATCAATATATAGTCTTCAATACCTCGTTATCGTATTGTTATCGTATCGTTTTCAAAATAATAACGAGACGCAAATTCTTATGTAACAAAATAAATTTTTAATAATTCCGTGTATTTTCATTAAACGAAAATTTATTAGATCAAACCGTTCAGCCGATTTGACATGATTGAGTCCGCCTGTTAGATACGCTTCATCGTAGCCGATATCGTATCGTTTCCAAAAATTAACGAGACGCAGATGCTTATATAATAAAATAAAATTTTTATTTATTCCGTGTAATATTATTAAACGAAAATATATTAGTTCAAACTGTTCAGCCAATTTGACAATATTGGTTCCGCCAGTTAGATGCACCAAAACCGTGGTGAACATTACATTTGTACTGTTCAGCCAATTTGACAATATTAGTTCCGCCTGATAGATACACCAAAACCGTCGCGAACATTACCTTCGTCTAACGAACTTATTACAAATCTTCGATTTTTCCGATGCATCAAAAAAATGGCAATATCTATTTAATTTAACGATTAAATACGGCACATTATAAAACCTAAAACTTCACAAAATGTTGAAAACGAAATAAATTTTAACAAACGAGCTGAATGTAGATCGGCAAAGAGTCATTAACATAACTTCGGGAAGGCCAAGATTTTTTCTAATTATATCTCAGATTTTTCTAAAAATAAATCAAAATGCTCATGAATAATTAATTTTTAGGAACTTGCTTCCAGAGGTAACTTGCCCATTGAAAAAAATTTTCATTGTTAAAACGCTGGTAGGGCGCTTCCAGTTATATAATTCCATGTTCTTAAGTAATTTTTTAGATCATTAGAAAATAGTAAACATTAAATAAAAAAATGTTGAAATATGAGTAAATTTCATTCAAATTTAAACGGTCGACTCACGAACTTTAAATACTCACGGTTTCGACAAATAATTTAAATTCACACAAAAACCAGATGATAACGTAAAAGTGTAAGTTTCCATTTACATTATTTACATATATATACATGAAAGAAATGAAAAAGATTCGTTTGTCGTGTGTTATGTTGGTGTGTCTTTCTGTATTTGTTCGTGTGTAATGTTTGTGTGTGTAAAGTTGATGTGTGTGTATGTGTCAGGGTTAGGGACAGGGTTGAGTTAGGTTGTAGTGAAAAAATAGCATTGCAAAATAATTAAAAACGGAAGAAATGATAAATTAGAGTATAATAAAATTGTTCGTTAAATACGGTGGGCGAACTTAAATTATTTTCAATTTGATATAAATAAATAATCAAGCGCTAGACAATTCAACACGGGCGGAGTCAATTTATTAAAAGTACATTGCGATAGTTTGCAAACATGGACGATACCATAGGAGTACCGATCTCACGTTTTACCGATTTAACGATTAGTCATATCCTACACGGATACTAAACATAAACTTTAATTGAAAAATTGATCGAAATTAGGTTTATTAAATAATGTCTGGGTTAAGGTTAGTTAATGAGGTTCCAGATGCTTTGACAAGACTAGTGCGGTGTATAGTTAGTGGATTTTGTTCAGTAGAATGTTCGCTAGTTATGGATCTTCTCATTCATCATCCTGGCATTAAAGAAGATGATTTATTGGAAATTACCAAATTTGACAAAAAGCAGTTGCGATCCATCGTTACCACTTTAAAACAAGACCAGTTTATCCATAGTCGAATACAAATGGAAACAGGTTCGGATGGCAAAGCTACAAGGCATAACTATTATTTTATAAATTATAGTATTTTTGTAAATGTGGTTAAATATAAATTGGATCAAGTTCGTAGAAAAATTGAAACCATGGAGCGTGATATGACTATTAGAGCATCTTTCAGATGTCCTAGATGTCACAAAACTTTTACAGATTTGGAGACTGGACAGTTATTTGATTCTGCAACACAAACTTATAATTGTACTTATTGTCTTACAGAAGTTGAGGAAGAAGTCTATGATAAAAACCATTTTGATTCAAGAACTTTAATGGCTAAGTTTAATGAGCAGATGGAACCATTTTATGACCTTTTAAGAGAATTGGATGGGATTAAACTTTCAGATACTTTGTTAGATCCACCCTTAATTAAAGATGCTAAGACGAACAACAGGTAAGTTGCACATAAATAAAATTTTTATTTTTTACTTCAAATCATCTGATAACAAAATTTATCTTATGACAAAAAACAAATCAAATCAATAGCTAGTAAACGTTAAACAACATGCTCATTTTGCGTAATACATTTTTATATGTTGGATTTTCAAAAATGAATTTTATTGATTTTTTATATCTAACACATGTAACATTTTGTTCACAATATTGTGCCCAAAAGAATAAACTTTTAAAAGAATAGTGTAACTTCATCTACTTTTTGTTCCAAGTATTGTTAAAAAATGGTTGATATGTTCCAAAAAATTACAATCTTTTTCGTTCTTAACAACAAAATTTTTTCCTGTAGTTCAATGATTTATATGAACCTGTTAGGTGAGGTAGGTAGTTACATAAATTGTTATGACCATTTGTGTTGGAGATTCAATCAATAAGCTATATGCCCATTGCCCACCCATTTGTATGAAATGGTTCTACAAATTTTGAGCTGTAATAATGGTTATTCTCTTGAATTACATTTATTCTTCATTGCTTGAGAATTTTATTTTGCATTGATTAAATTAGTTATTTTATGAAACAATATACACTTCATGAGAATTTAATAAATGTTTATAAATATAAAAGCATAAAGTTCAAGTTAAATAAATTAGAAAAAATATAAATTTAATTTTGTTATGCCATCCTGTTGTTCCAATAACAAATTTGCATAGTGTAGGAGTGGAAATTTTTGTCGGAGTTGGAGTTTTTTTGAGAATTCTGATTTTTTCATCCAACTTTGACACTGAATTTTTGTTTCATTTATAAAGTCTAATTTTTACTATGCAGTACTCACTCAATTTACACAGTTAATAAAGAATTTATGAGCTTAGTAAACAGATTATACATTACATAGTTTTACATGTTTAATATTTTTTGTAAACACACATTACAAAACAATAAGTTTCATAAATGTTTGCATTACTAAACTATACTAATAATAACACATACATAAATACTAAAGTTCACCAAAATGTTTGTTAACTTTAAGAACAGTAATGTCTCCAACAGTTCATCATTGATAAAGAAAATAATTCAATAAAAAATAAAGTCAAAGTAAATAATTTTATTTATTGATAATTACTATCCCAAAGTAATACAGTCTACTGCTATTTAATTAAGCATTTTAAATACCACTTATACGTGGGTAAGTATTTCATTATTAATTAAGTATTTAGATATTCTAAATTTGTAACAACACTGATTATAATATATTGTTTGGAAACTGCTGCTTTAAAACATTTGCTTCATGTTTATCAGATCTTCTTCTTCTTTTTTTCTTAACTGGTGATTTGCTGAGAGCGGTTTTGCAACCAATACACTGCAAAACCAAAAAGGCTTGTGTACCAAAGACTTGTACTGTTTCTAAATGCATAAAAGCTAAATCTGATAGGGAAAAAAGTACTTAAAAGATGGACTGAATGCATTAACAATCTTTTCGATGATATCCAAGGTGAAAAGCCTCCTATTAAAAAAGACTTAGAAGGACCAAAGATATATTTTAAGTTTGTGCCACTCTTTCTTAAATGAAATCAAGTAAAGCGCCAGGAACAAATTTTGAATGAGATATAAAACAGCAGCAAAATTCCTGAAAATCTATCTAAGTCAATTTATTGCATTTCTATCTATATATCATCTATATTTATTGCATTGCCTAAAAAACCTAATGCAACGGAATGGAAACTACATCAAACAATCAGCTTGATGAGTAACCTTACAAAATTTTTTTGGAGAATTCTAATGATGAGAGCACATCAGATCTTATGCTTTTAATTTCTGTTCTTTTGTTCTTCAACATCAACACCTGATATTGCTGTTCCTGGTCATCAATGTTACCTACTAAATGCTATGACCTATTTCTAAATGTATTGCTCAATTCATTTTGTTTTGATCTATAAACAGCAAATTGTAAATGTGTTTCAACGTCGATTTATTGATTAACTGACTGTTTGAATGGCTTCTAATGGTTGTGTATTTATATAGTTAGTTACTTATTTATTTCTTCTTAACCCATTTTGGATTAATTTGATTAATGTGTACTTTATTAATATTTCAAATTTGCTTGTTTTTCTACTTTTTATTTCTTATGCTCCATTTCCGTTATGTGATTCTGTCCTTAAAAATATTGCTTGTTCATTTTTTTTCAAGTTTATAAAATAGTTACAAATTGTTTATACAATTTTTTTTTATAAAACTTTTGTAAAATTGTTACAAACTTTCTCGTAAACTTCCCAAGCTTCAAATTTATTTTGTTTGAATTTTTTTATATTATGTGTGGGAATAAATGAGTCAATATAATTGTAGATTTTACAAATTTGCACAAGACACAATTATGAAATGATTAGATACATATATTATTTGTGTTGCATGATTGATTTAGCACATTAAAATTTAGGATAAAATATGGAAAATGGAGTAAAAATATATTTGTATATAAGAAGTGGCATGTGGAGTGATTAGTTAGGAAGTGATTCTTTTTTTATATAAAACTTTCTTAAAAAATGGATAATTTGAAATTTATTTGAAATAGATCATCCTGTTTGACAAGAACAAATGCTGAAAAATCTACATGGAGTGGTGATTCAACAAAATATTTTGGTTTTGGCAGTTCCGAAAAGAATGTTTTTATATCAGATAAAAATCATGAGATGGATCAAACCAGAAAAGTTTTTGAGACACCTGCTTGGATTAAACAGAGCACAGTTAATATATCAAATGGATCATCACCGATGGTTTTTAAATTTGTTTTTATTTTAATTTAAAAAGTTATTTAACATTTTTGTAAAGTATATTAAGCAGCTTCACGAGACGGTTACAGAATCCTAATTTAAATTTTCAAATTTTGTATATCGTTTCTAAAGACTTGCAATTTCTGGATGAAAATATTTTTCACCAAACTAGCATGACTAAATCTTTAATTTAATATATAATTGAATATTTAATACATACTGCCCTGTGGATGGTCTGGCTACTGGCACCCCACTCTATAGCGTGGCGGTGCAAGGCACTATAGATGGAAGAACTACTTGTAGACCAAGGGATTGGAGGTTTGGTACCTGGAATGTAGGCACGTTGACAGGAAGAGGTTTGGAAGTGGTGGAGGAGCTGCAGAGGAGAATAGTTGACGTGGCTGCATTACAGGAGATCAGATGGAAGGGTGAGGGTACAAGGTTTGTGGGGGCTAAAGGTGGAAGATATAAGTTGTGGTGGAAGGGGGATGATGGTACGGGAGGAGTTGGTGTGATGGTAAGAGAAGAGTTGGTGGAGAAGGTGTTGGAAGTGAGGCGGAGAAGCAATGGTGTAATTGTGCTGGTGATTGTGTTTGGAAAAGTAATAGTGAGGGTGATATCAGGATATGCTCCGCAACAAAGTAGGAAGGAAGAGGAGAAGGATAGGTTTTATGATGATGTTTCTGACGAGATTGGGCAAGCGGGGTTGGATGAGTTTGTGT